TGTGTGTGTCTGTGTGTGTCTGTGTGTCTGTGTGTGTCTGTGTGTGTGTCTGTGTGTGTGTCTGTGTGTGAGTGAGTGTGTTTCTGTTTGTGTGTCAGCACTCGTCTGAGGTCCGAGGTGGAGACGTGTTTCAGTTCTTCCAGAAGATGCTGAGCAGCTACATCATCCACCATGACAATAAGTGAGTTCATTCCTTCATTCATTGATGATGTCATCACGTGTCCGTCTTCGGATGGTGATGATGTCATGGCCCGTGTCCGTGTTCCAGGATGTTCCGTCAGGTGTGTGGAATCCCGCAGGGATCTTCAGTGTCGGCGCTGCTGTGTAACCTGTGTTACGGACACATGGAGAACTCACTGCTGAAGGGCATCGCTAAAGGAGGGTGAGACCATACACAAAACACCCTCATAGTCCTGAAAATAGTGTTAAAAAACCCTCTGCAGTGAATGGGTGCCGTCAGAATGAGAGTCCAAACAGCTGATAAAAACATCACAATAATCCACAAGTAATCCACAGCACTCCAGTCCATCAGTTAACATCTGGAGAAGACAAAAGCTGAAACTAATCCAGCATTAAGACGTTTTTAACTCAAATATGAGTCCATAATCCATAATAACGCTTCCTCCGGTGAAAATCAATTGATTTAGATCAGAACTTCAGAGCGGGTTCGCAAATCTTTATTTTTTTTCTGATTTTTATTTATTTTTTATTATGCATAAAAAACATCAAACCATTAAGGCAGTACAATTATAAAAACAAAACAAAGAAAAAAGAAAGTATACACAAATACAAATCCATTAAGAAAATTAACTGTGGTTTTACTATAGTGAAAGTGTAGTAACCATGTTTTCTGTATAACCACAGTTTTACTACAAATACCATGGTTAAACTATGGTTAGTATAGCAAAAGCATGGTTACTTTCTGGTTACCATGGTTTAACTATAGTAACCGTGTTTATTTGTTTTGTTTTTTAAATGGTTAATTTTCGTAAGGGATGTGTTGCAGGTCAACAAAAATAAAATAAGCAATAATACATTTTCACCATGAGGGGACACATAGGATGAATATAGAGATGCAGTTTTCACTGTTTTAAGATTAACAGAATTTTTTCTAGATCAACTCTAGAAATAAAGAAAAGAGAGATTTAGAGACAGATTTTTGTTTATGTATGTAAAATTTAGCTAGCAGGAAACACGAATGAATTAAGTTCTATTTTCTTATATTCTCTTCTGAGTAGTCAAACAATCCAAAGAAAACATTTTTACAACAGAAGGAAAAGTCACTTACAAAATTAGATATGAACATTAAATAAATCTGACCAAACAAGTGAATGAATCTTCCTCAGAAGAGACAAAAACTGCAACTCACTTCAATGTCTGACTGATATTAGAATTACATCCATAAGCTTTTTGTGATTTAAGGATTGATTTTGTTGTTGTTGTTTTAATTATGTACTATTTCTAACCAGTTTTAGAGCTTGGCATAATTAGAAAAGTGTGTTTTCATCATAAAAATATCTGTTGCGTTTTAAGATTGTATTTATTTCCATGTCTTTTCTAGGTCTAGAAATCACACTTTTAAAATCTCGAGGCCCCTTGGAAGTTGCTATGATAGTATGAATCTGTTTTGCTTATATCTACACACCTTTCACTTTTTAAGACTTAAAACAAAAGATGGATTCATTGCTATTCTTAACTAAAAAGCACAACAACAATAAAACAGTAGGCTACGGCTTACATAACGTTTGTTAACAAAAATGAATGGAATACACCACATGCTGTATTATATACCGACTAATAAATTACAGAATGTTTAGCAAACACTGAGGAATCAAATAAATAAATAAAAGAGAGCCTCCATAGCGTGACGGGAGGTAAACGGCAAAGATAACAAGCTTTTCAAAACGAAAACAAAAAGAAAAGTAAAACTAAACTGGCTGTCCGTGACAGGTCTTGCGTGTTTTTTTTTGTTTTGTTTTTAACTCGCACATTCTCAAAAGATTTTTGGTCTTAGTCTCGAGCCCTGTGTGTGTTTAATGATTGTGTGTGTCTGTCGTTGGCAGGTGTATCATGCGGCTGGTGGATGATTTTCTGCTCATTACGCCTCATCTGAGCAAAGCCACGGAGTTCCTGACGTACGTCCACACGCAACACATGAACATGCATGTGATCCAAACAAGTCCGTAACCTTGTCTTGAACATTGGGGGAGACAAACTTATACATATGTATATATACATACATATATACACACACACACACACTACCGGTCAAAAGTTTGGGATCAGTAAGTCTTGTAATGTTTTTAAAGAAGTGTCTTCTGCTCATCAAGGCTGCATTTATTTGATCAAAAATACAGAAAAAAACAGTAATCTTGCGAAATGTTATTACAATATAAAATAATGGTTTCTATTTTAATATCCTTTAAAATATCATTTATTTCTGTGATGCAAAGCTGAATTTCCATCATCATTACTCCAGTATAAAGTGTCACATGATCTTCAGAATTCGAATTATTATTAGAATTATCAACAGTTGTGCTGCCACAATATTTTTTTGGAAACTGCGATACTTTTTTCAGGATTCTTTGATGAATAGAAAGTTAAAAAGAGCAGCATTTATTCAAAATATCAATCTTTTCTAACAGTATAAACCTTTGCTATCGCTTCTTATCAATTTAACACATCCTCACTGAATAAAAGTTTTAATTTCTTTAAAAAAAAAGAAAGAATAAAAGTGTACTGACCCCAAACTTTTGAACGGTAGCGTATATTGTTAGAAAAGATTTCTATTTTAAATAAATGCTCTTCTTTTTAACTTTTTATTCATCAAGGAATCCTGAAAAAAAGTATCACAGGTTACAAAAAAATGGTGCTGTTGACATGAAATTTTCACCAGATGTCAGTAACAACCCAACTAATCTATACATACAACTAAAACAAAACAAAAAAGTTCAGAAATTAAGTTCTGTGTAATAAAATAGAATGACAGAGAAAAAGTATTGAACACATGAAGAAAGGGAGGTGCAAAAAGGCATGGAAAGCCAAGACACCAGCAGAAATCTATCAGTAATTAGAAAGCAATCCTGCCCCTCGTCAGTGGAGATTAATATTAGCTGCTTCAGTCCCAACACCTACAGTACCAGGATGATGACGATGAAACAAGGCTGGACGTTTCCGCGAGACAATGATCCCAAACACAGCCAAGGAATCTCTTGATTGGTTTCAGAGAAAGAAAGTAGAGCTGCTAGAATGACTTGAATCCAATAGAAAATAAGAACTAAAGATTAGAGTTCATAAAAGAGGCCCACAGAACCTTCCAGATTTGAAGACTGTTTGATGCTGATCCTGAGCAATGCATGCGACTACAGCCGTGGCCAAAAGTTTTGAGAATGACACAAATATTAATTTTCACAAAGTCTGCTGCCTCAGTTTTTTATGATGGCAATTTGCATGTACTCCAGAATGTTATGAAGAGTGATCAGATGAATTGCAATTAATTGCACTCTTCGCCATGAAAATGAACTTAATCCCCAAAACATCTCCACTGCATTTCAGCCCTGCCACAAAAGGACGTCAGGTGGTCAGTGATTCTCTCGTTAACACAGGTGAGAGCGTTGACGAGGACAAGGCTAGAGATCACTTTGTCATGCTGATTGAGTTAGAATAACAGACTGGAAGCTTTAAAAGGAGGGTGGTGCTTGAAATCATTGTTCTTCCTCTCTTAACTACGGTTACCTGCAAGGAAACGTGTGCAGTTATCATTGCTGCTAGTAAGATTGCAGCTAAATCAATCATTTATCGGATCATCAAGAACTTCAAGGGGAGAGGTTCGATTGCTGTGAAGAAGGCTTCAGGGCGTCCAAGTAAGTCCAGCGAGCGCCAGGACTGTCTCCTAATGTTGATTCAGCTGCGGGATCGTGTCACCAGCCATGCAGAGCTTGCTCAGGAATGGCAGCAGGTTGGTGCGAGAGCATCTGCACGCACAGTGAGCCCAAGACTTTTGGAGGATGGCCTGGTGTCAAGAAGGGCAGCAGAGAACCCACTTCTCTCCAGGAAAAACATCGGGGACAGACTGATATTCTCCAAAAGGTACACTGATTGGACTGCTGAGGACTGGGGTAAAGTCATTTTCTCTGATGGATCCCCGTTCTGATCGTTTGGGGCTTGTCTGGAGAAGAAAAGGTGAGCGCTACCATCAGTCCTGTGTCATGCCAACAGTAAAGCATCCTGAGAGCATTCATGTGTGGGGTTGATTCTCAGCCAAGAGAGTGAACTCAGCCATGAATAAAGAATAGTACAAAAGCATCCTCCGAGAGCAACTTCTCCCAACCGTCCAAGAACAGATTGGCAATGAACAATGCCTTTTCCAGCATGATGGAGCACCTTGCCATAAGGCAAGAGTGATAACTAAGTGGCTCGGGGAACATTGAAATTTTGGGTCCATGGCCAGGAAACTCCCCAGACCTTAATCCCATTGAGATCTTGTGGTCAATCCTCAAGAGGCGGGTGGACAAACAAAAACCCACAAATTCTGACAAACTCCAAGCATTGATTATGCAAGAATGGGCTGCCATCAGTCAGGACGTGGCCTAGAAGTTGATAGACCGCATGCCAGGGCGAATTGCAGAGGTCTTGGAAAAAGAAGGGTCAACACCGCAAATACTGAGTCTTTGCATAAACTCATTGTAATTGTCAATTAAAGCCTTTGACACTTATGAAATTCTTGTAATTATACTTCAGTATACCGTAGTAGCATCTGACGAAAAGATCTAAAAACACTGTAGCAGCAGACTTCTCAAAACCTTTGGCCACGGCTGTAGTTTCTCCAAACAGGAGGCGTCTTGAAGCTGTCATCACCAACAAATGCTTTTGTACGAAGTATTAAATGAATTTCAGTAAGCGTGTTCAATACTTTTTCCCTGTGTCATTCCATTTTATTACACACAACTTAATTTCTGAACTTATTTGTTTTGTTTTAGTTGTATGTATGGATTAGTTGGGTTGTTACCGACATCTGGTGAAAATTTCAAGTCAAAAGCACCTTCAGAAATATATTTACTGAGAAAAATGGTGACGTGTTCAATACTTATTTTATCCGCTGTGTGTGTGTGTATATATATATATATATATATGTCTTTTTACAAAGCATTCTGTTGCAGCTGAAGAACACTGCAAGAGGAATTTTGCCTATGCTTTAAAAAAAAAATACCACAGCAAAAACAACTAGATTAATATAAATTTCAAATATTAAAGTGTTAAAGACAAGTAAACCGTCAGTAATAATATAGGAACAAACAAATCAATTAGCGATATTATCAATAAATACAACTGAACAAAATTTCAGGTACAGAAACTGTATACTGACGTAGTTTTCTGCATATTGGTCGACAAATATGAAAGAAGTCCGTTTCGGCCCGGAACAACCTTTTCTACAGTGGAAATACACGTCTAAAAAAAAAAATCGTTTTTAATCACATTAAAATGCGAACGCAGGAGTCATTAAGCAGAATCGAAATGCACGCGTCGTATCGAATACCCGGTTCTTGGAAATTTGGAACCGGTTCTAAAATGGAACCGGTTTTCGATACCCAACCGTAAACACAATTAACGCAGAGGCCAGGGTTGACCGCCACTCACAACTGGTGCCTTTGTCTATTTTATTTCTTGACAAGAAGTGCATTTATTCAGTCGCAGAACGTCTTTATGATCACATCAAACGGGAGACGTTTCAGACGCGCTCCAGCTTCACTTTAGCGTCAGACATGAGTCAGACGAGCAGAAACGGTACTGTGCTCGCGCCGCCACTTGCTGTAGCCTGTATCTTTTCATATCAGTGTGCGAATGAAACTACGTGCATGCAATGTCGTGGTCAGTTAAGTCATGAAGTTACCAAAAAGGCGATTAAAGCTGCTTTAAAACTGCATGCATGTAATATATTTTATATGAGTCAGATTTAAGAACATGTCTCTGAAATGGTTTTCAAAACTCTCACTCATCTAACACACCCGATTTAACTCGTCAGTCGACTTTAAGACCTGAAGTGGGTCAGAAAAGGTGAAGAGAGTTGAGAGAAAATGCCATTAAACAAATATTTAAAATATACTGTCTTTATGTTGTTTGTACATTCATTTGAAGATTGAATGTGAAATTATTGCAATATAAAAGTGTATTTAAATACTGGATTTTTGCCTTTCGTGAGCTGTAAGCTCTAATCATCAAAATTAAAACAAACATTTTTTTTTAAATGTTTTACTTTACATGCAATGAATCTAGAATTTTTTTTAAAATGGACTTTCACGATATTAAATTTTTTTTTAGATGCACCTGTATGTATATATACAGTGTGTATATATATATGCAGGTGTGCATTAAAACCATTTAACTCCAAGTCAGTTTAATTCCCATTCTATATTAATGCGCTGCTTTCATTGACGCACAGAGATCGGAGATCGCGCACGGAAACATTACATTCAGAAACGTGCTGACTTTTAGCGATACTGAATCCTGACTCGCTACACTATATCTCTCAGCAAAGAGGGGGTAAAATCGCTGATTTTGAAGTAAAACTCACAGCTTCAATGTTTGTAGAGACGCACAGACTCCGGTAACTATCACAAACATGCAACTTCAATCTCTCTCTGTCTCGCTCACTCACTGTCAGGTCGAGTAGTTTGCATCACTGGATAAAGCTGTTGGCTATTAAACAGTTCTATAGTAAAACAGTTGACTAATATTAAATGATTTGCAACTTCCATTATACCTCGTTCTCTTTCATTAAAACATTAAATTGACGATTCATACCGAAATGCACGCTCTGCTTCTGTGAACAGTAAAGCCCGCCTACTTTGATTCGATTGGCTATCTCAATTATTTTGACACTGACGAGCGCTGCTTAATGGAGTGCAGCAGATCAGTGCAAGAGTTTCTTCGATGTCTATGGTGGTTACAGCCCTGGATCCAAACACGTTCACTCACTCATCTGTCTGTCTGTCAGGACGCTGCTGGCTGGCGTTCCCGATTACGGCTGTCAGATCAACCCTCAGAAGGTGGCGGTGAACTTCCCGGTGTGTGTGGAGTGGCTGGACTCGGGCGTGAGTGTCCTGCCCTCCTGCTGTCTGTTCCCCTGGTGCGGTCTGCTGCTCGACACACACTCGCTGGACGTCTACAAGGACTACTCAAGGTAACCAGGGCTGTCAGAATGGCTGAAAAACTAAATTCGAATTTTGTACTAAAATATTATCAATATTCGAATTTAAAAGGGATAATTTCAGTTAGGGGGAAAAAAGCTTTTGGCTTCTTTCCAGAGGGCGCATCGAGCAAAATATCACTAATGCACGTTTCTTCAAAGCAATAAAATAACACGACTATCTTTGAAAAAAGTGCATAATGTTTAAAATAATGTTTATAAACCATATATAATTAAGTTGCTTAAACAATTAGAAACAAAACGGCATCATGTATGTATATATAGTTTAATACAAAGGACCGAAAACCAACCACAAGTAGTAGTTTTTCATTTAAAAACATGAGATGCAGTGGGATGGGAAAAACCGCCATAAAGTCTCGAGACATGTTTTTTTAAAGTTGAAATACAGAGTTCTGGCATGAAACGCAGTCCGATAGGTCTAACTCAATCTGACCTAATGACATCATCACATGGCACAGCTGATTGGTTCTCTCCTGTATCGGTAGCCAATGAGCTCGCTGCTCAACATTCAAATATATGACTAGTGCTTGCAGTTGCAGCTTGCTTCAGAAATCCTCCACCTTCCCCAGCTCCACCTGTATAGATCTGCTACGAGGTGATTCATGTATGCTATATGGGGGTTATTTCATGTATGTTATATTTGCAGCAGCAGTATTTCTTACATGCTCACAGCAGCATGTTGTGGATGTATTGGCGGTAGCAGCAGCAGCAGCAGCGTTGCAGATCTATTCCGCCAAGACCAAATACATTAACATTATCATGTACATTAACATGCCAATCCCTCCGAGAGATGTCATGACACAACTTACATTAATTTTACATGGCTTTCTAAACATGCGGCTCTCTTGTGCGAGACGCGAGTGCAACAGTGATAGAAAATGCAGTAAATATGCGTTCTGTGTGAACGGCTTGGTTTCAGTTTTGATGTAAACAAGATCTTCTCCGCATTGGTGTTCTCTTTTTCCGCAATATTTTGAATGAACAACGTAGCAGCGCCGCATCTAGTGGCTTCAACTGAATAGGCTAAAAAAAGCATTAAAATGCAACGACACCTACATCGTCATCGCATCTCGTGCGCCACTGATGCACACCTAAAATTCAAATGCAACACTTTTGCATTTTTTTTTTTTTGTGACTGCCCTAATGGTAATGAGATGCGCCCATCACTGCTGCTATCAGGCTGTAAATCAGGGAGGGCCGCTATCTTATCTGTGCACTGATGAGACGTCATCCGTAGGTTTTAATATGCATTCCAGCTTGACTCTGATCTCTGGCGTTATTCTGCTCCGGTCTCATCTCTGTCAGCACCTAGGATGCCTCGAGGGTGAGTAAAACATGGACTAGTTTTCATTTTTGGGTGAACTACAGTGGTGGCCAAAATGATTAGGACACTAGTATTTCCAGCAGCTAAAAATGGTTTTAAGTCAGTTATTTCTATCTTTTGCTGTAGTGTGTCAGTAGGAAATATCAGTTTACATTTCCAAACATTCATTTGGCCATTAATTGTAATAATGCAGTGAGATTTTTGTGCTCCACACAGAGATCTAATCTGATCATCATCAGTCTGTCTGGAGTCACATGAAGAAACAGAACAAAAGGTGATTTCTTGAAGCATCTTGAAGCGTCAGTTCTTCTGGATTGAGTCTGTCTCAGTTTGTTCTGTTTCTTCATGTGACTCCAGACAGACATGATAATCAGATCAGATCTCTGTGCGGAGCACAAACATAAATCTCACTGCATTATTACAATTAATGGCCAAACTGATGTTTAGAAATGTAAACAGATATTTCCTACTGACACACTACAGCAAAAGATAGAAATAACTGACTTAAAACCATTTTTTAGCTGGTGACA